CTGACGAATGCAGCTATCGATATTTTTGCATGCTAGCAAACATTCGTGTCAGTCAGCTGTTGGCTATCACACTGGCCAATAGAATCTTCCTGCCTATTCGTGGCAGCCTGCTATAGGCTCTCACTCTGGCCAGTAGAAAATAGCCGCAAACTACATGAAAACTGCCGTAGAAGCATGAAAAAATCGATTATTTCCACTATCGATGTGAGTTGGGAAATGCAATGTCAGTCTTGGCTTTACCGCTAACTTGGAGCCTGTGCATGTAAATTCTGGTGCAAATCCGTCGAAAATTGCAGCCGTGCATTCGTTACACATACACACACACACATCCTGCCTTTTATATATATATATATATATATATATATATATATATATATATATATATATTGTATTGAGCACTTCTTTATTATTTTAGCTGTTGGTAGGGAGAGCTTTACCTTTGATTGTGGTAGATGCTATTTTCAGTACCCTAATTATTTTATTAGATATTTTGTCAGTACCCTAATTATCTTATATTCAATGTTTTGGGCTTTTTTTTAAGCATTTCACCCCAAGCAAGTCAGAAGTGCGATTATCACACAGGGGGTTATGGAGAGTGAAAATGAGAGAAAAGTGTGGGTGTAGGGGGAATTGAAGAAAGGAAAAAAAAAACAACAGGTATAAACGCAACAAAACATGGTGACTGATGTTGCATTTAGGTTTTTGATGATTGTAGTTATCAGGGAAGCAGGTGAGAGGAGTGGAGTTCCAATATGGAGATGTGCGAGGAAAGAAACCGTTAGAAGGGCGGTTACATTTAACTATTTCAGTTGGGACCTAGATGCCAATCTAGTAGTACACGTAAATTCATGTAGCCAGAGTTAGACTGTTACTTAGCCCGGAGCCAAGTGATATTTAGCTACCCCCCCACACACACACGAGGCCTGGAGCCAAGTTATATTTAGCTATCCCGCACAAGGCCGTGTTCAACCTGAGATTTCCGAGCCCGCATTAACGGTTTTGACGAGACTCTGCCCTTCGGCGGAGCATCGTCCGGGTTCCTCTCCGCCCGAAAACAGAGAGTTAGACTGTTACTTAGCCCGGAGCCAAGTTGCTTGGTAGAAGAAATCGACTGTGTTTATGTCGGCTGCGGGTAGCATCGTAGCCGGTTGGCAATATCTTTTGGTTGATGACTAAAAATTAACTTCCGCATTTTAACTGTAGTCATGGGTTTCATTTGAACACCATGTGTATTTAAAGTAGTTTCCGCTTATTATTTTTTAGTTAGGAGGACTTGTGTATGATTAGGTTTCATTTGTTTACTTTTTGTGTATCGTTCTCTGACAAAAAAAAACAAAAAACGCTGAGTCACCGGAAGTTAACGGCATTCGGACGTTTGAGTAGCCGGCAGTAACTTCCGGTTGGGTGCGCTACACTTACCCATGTTTTCAAATTGATTTCGTGCAAAAACAATTGTGTCTTTCCAATTTTTAGTGCTGTCAGAACCACCGCCGGCTAACTTTACGTAGTCCTGTGAAGTTTTGTTGAAATCGGTTAAAAAATGTAGGTAATACGATGCCATATATAAACGAACAAACACACACACAATCTGCGTTTTATAATAAGTGAGATTTTCGTCATAGCTTTATATATATATATATATATATATATATGATTAAAGGTACCCGTGACAGGCTTTTATAACCCAAGGAATTAATTTAAGGTTTCTAATAACAATATTAAATTATAATTTATTTATATGCCGAAATTCATTTTGGTTTTATTTTTTCTATTTTTTTTTTCAAAACAAAACCATAAAAAAAATTCAAAGAAATCCTTTAAACATCTTAAAAGATTTATTTACTTAATTTTATAAAACCCTTGTCATATCTACGTATTGTAATCGCATATCGTCCAGTTCATACCCCTCTCCAATCTTTTGAACAGGAGTAAAGGGTTATGATTTGTTTCTTGTTTAGAATTCGGTTTCCGGTTACTTCTAAAAGTCTACTTCAGCTCTATACTCGCAATACTTGTCCTTTCCTAAGCTAATATAACTTCACACAATATCCCTCTACATCGAGTGGCTCTTGGGCCTTGTATAGGATGAATATTAGTAAAAAATTACCCCAGTTTCTCAAGAGAGGTAGAGCACTACGTGCAGTTTCAAATCAGTACAAATCTTTGATTGTTTCTATTCTGTTTCTATACATATTCGACGGTGGCATTCTAATCTTTGCAGGAACTTTCTAATTCTCTTCTTTTTATGAAATAGCATCAATTACTCAAAGATATTTTTAGAGTCATTCACACTTTGTAGTTTACTTATCTGGCAATCCAAATATTAATTATCACGTGCGTTTCGTCATACCCTTCTACTAATGCGGTTTTTCGACAATAAAGATCATGCGAAACGATAAAACGCCCCCCCCCAAAAAATTTACAAAATAGAGGCACCGGTACACTGGCTGATTTTTCTATCAAAAAAAAGTAGGATAACGTGTATGTAAGTTAATATTAGGATGCGCCATAAGGAATTTTCGTTTTGTGGAACCAATTTTAATGACACGTCAGCCACTTACACACCACCGTGGGATTGCTTCTCTGTCTTTTCTTTAAAAATATTTTCATGGCAATTGTCTGAATGAACTCTTCACCTTGGTATCTCGAATGTACGAATTTTAGCAGACTACTAGATGGGTAGGTAACTAGTTCTCGTCGTTTTACTGTTGAAATACGTAGATTTAACCGTAAGTCCTATTCTAATATTTTCTTTTCTCGCATTTACTGCTTCTTGCCAACCTGTCAACTATTAACGTTAATCACCATCTTCTTTCCTTAAATCAGTTCTTTTGTTATCATATCCCCGCACCAAATTCGTTTATTCTCAGTAACTGCTGCCATCTTAATCACATTATCACATTGCTTGAAAATTATTTGTCTATATTTCTGAGATGAGGTATTATGTACACTATTTATATTATTCAGCTGCGGAAAGAAATGTAAAGGGGAAACAGGTCGCCTCCTTAAGGTAAGGCTTCAAGAACACCAAAAAGCAGGCGTGGCTGACCACATATGGAGAGAAAAGGGAGATCACTGCCCTCCGTGGGATCAGGTTGAGATCATAGACAAAGAACACCATTGGAAAATTCGTAAACATAAGGAACCAGCACATATGCTAGGCCACACAAATCTCCTGAGCCGACCAAGCATAGAAATGAATACAGTTTTAACCAGTAATAAGGAGTTCGAAAGAAAAGCAATAATAACAAGAAAAATTGAAATATGAGCTCTAGTAAAAACCTGAAATGATAACAGCACAAATTTCAATATGAGCACTGGTAAAAAAATGCTTGCTGAAGACATTAGGTTTATAATACCCAGAAATCCATACACAGATGTCTTCAAGGACACATGGCACAGTGGATAAAAGGCGTTGGTTAGATCCAATGACAAGACCCAAAGAGTGTTAAGGCAGTGGAGAACTTGTAGAGGGGAATTAATAGGAAATAACTGATAACTGACATCCATTAAACATGGCACGTGGAACTAGAACAGTCTACTCCAGTGAGCGAAATAAAGGGTTCAGTTCGACATTCCAACCACCTGAAGAAGGCCGGAGCGTACAACGGCCGAAATGTTGTAAATAAATGTGGCGACAAAGATGAGGACAATAGTCCGAATAATGTAAATAGTGGAAATTATTAATAACTCAACCTAACAGTAGAACAGGTAGGAATGAAAAGTGTGATGAACAGCAATGCCACACCTATTCTCCTGTATGGTACCTAATAGTGGACAAAATCCTTACAGATGATCAAGAGACTCGGGCCATGCGTTTCTAGAGACGTATTCTGAGAATGCTATGGATAGAACACGTGAGCAATAAGGAAGTTCTAGGGAAAACGTTTACAGATAGGCTTATATGATACCGTTAGAATTTCTTGAAAACCTTATGAGGAAGGACATCATGGTAAATGTAATACTCACAGGGCGGGATGTGGGAAGAAGTAAAAGGAAACATCAATCAACAAGGAGTTTGCGTGAATGTCATAGCAGAAACGTTGCTTACAGGTAAAAAGAATAGAAAGTTGTGGAGAGCCGTGATCACTTACGTTCTGATGATGATGGTAATGGTACTGGTGGTAATACATCATATGAGCATTATTAATCGGATTTGTGAAACGAAGTGTACACGAAGCGTAAGAAAAAATATTATAACTTACCGCATTGGATATTCTTTACAAGTTGAAATATTTTCAAAAAAATCTGACAATGGCAACAACACAGATGTCCAGGCTTCCATAGGGTTTTAATGCATAAACAAAACCTGCCGTTTACAACCTGTTTCCATGACAGTGCTTTGGTGTAGGACATAGTAAATAAGTTCATGAAAACGGACAATCAATAACTCCGGGGGTGCCAATATTGTCATTCTAGAGAAGAAGAGATACTATACCGGACAATGTTCTGAGAAACAAACAATATTTGATAGTCGGTTTTGCAAAGGAAATAAAATATTTTTATTCTTTTTATTAAAGGAAATATTGCGATTTTTTTTAGTTGTCCCCTACTATACCGATTTTCATTTAGGCCCTGGACAAAGTGACAACAAAACTCCACAAAACTGCAAACCATCCCTATTACTCTGAACTCACAGCCTCTAAATATTTTCTGGTGACTTTTTTTTTGGCACTATTGTCAAAAATACAACTGATATTTCTATATTAATGCCATTTCGATATAGTGGATATTTTTTGTTGAATTTGTATTAAAATTGGAATACCCGTGAAGATTTTAAGGGTTTTCTATCTGAAATTTCTAGCGAATCATAATTCTTACGTCAATGATTGAATCGTTATTTCCGATACCAACGGTTATAAGATATTTGAGCTGAAACGCTTCGACAAAATATTGCAGTAGCAATCATAAATATGAATGCAGTTCAAGATTTGAAGAAGTATGAGGGTACAAATGGAAAAAAATGCCAAGGTTTATCATTTCACTAAATCAAACATAAAATGTTATCATCTCATCTCATCTATCTATCTATCTATCTATCTATCTATCTATCTATCTATCTATTTCAGCCTGTTCATTATCTATCTAAATGTCTATTTTAGTCTATTCTTTATATATTTATTTGTATATGTGTGTCTGTTAAGTATCTATCTATCTATCTAAATGTCTATTTTAGTTCTTGTCTGTTCTTTAAATATCTATCTATATATTTTTGTCTGTTCATTATCTATCTATCTATTTCAGCCTGTTCATTATCTATCTATCTATCTATCTATCTATCTATCTATCTATCTATCTATCTATCTATTTTAGCCTGTTCATTAACTATCTATTTCAGCCTATTCATTATCTATCTATCTATCTGTTCATTATCTATCTATCTATCTATCTATCTATCTATCTATCTATCTATGTTTATTATCTACACATCTTTCTCAGTCTGCTTATTATCTAGCTATCTTCCTTACTATCTATCTGTTTCTTATTTTATTGATTTTTCTTTCTTTTTTTTATCTTTCTTAGTTTGTCGATACAATCGATTGTGCCCGTATTTATCTCAGCCTGTCGAAATCTGTCTATTTAACCTGTCTTTTATATTAAATATTTTATCTATCTTATTATTATTGTTACTTTTATGTATGATTATTTTTTCCAGTGAAAGCCAAACAGCATTTCTGATACATCGACTTTGCCATTGTTATTCACCTTCAAAAAAGTATGGTTGATTATTTATCTGATGTAATGGTAGCCTTTCTACGTCCACAAGGTCCTTACATAGTGCTTTAGCAATCGTTGTGTTCCAATTTGTAGAACAGACTCCCGCGAGGATGCTTTCCTGAACACAACGGTCTTAATCTGTTCATGTCTTGGGTTATCGATTATCTTTGTGTCATATGGGAAAACACCGAGGTTCGAACGTGACACTCTCGACTTATGAATATATGTTTTCCGCCAGGTGTATAAATGTATCGGTGTCAGGCTACTGACTGGGGTGATTATCGAGTAACTGTTGAGTGGATCTATCCAGTCGACTTAGTGTGATTTTTTTGTGCGTTGATGATTTGGGTTTTGATTTAGGATATACCAGACGTTTAGCCGAGGTGAGCTACTAAAAATGGATTCACTAAAATGGTTATGTTTGGTTGACCTTTATTTTGTTCTTGTTAAGTATTTATTTGCGGTTGTAATTAAATACAGTTTAATTAAAACATTGAAATCTTGAGTTATACTTAATTAATTAACGGCAATATCCGCGTAATATTCACTTCCCATTTCCTCTTGTTATAATTATGCCACGCCCATAATTCAGGAACATTCTACCTCGAATATCTCTTGAGTTTTGTATTAGGTGAACTAAAAATTTAAATTAATAACGGAGAAATATTCAGAATATTATTATGATTTTTCTATATCTGTGTATATTTCTGAGATGAGGTATTATGTACATTATTTACATTATTCGGACTCTGGTCCTCATCTTTGTCGCCATATGTATTACAACATTTCGGCGGTTGTACGCTCCGGCCTTCCTCAGGTAGTTGGAATGTCGAACTTAACCCTTTATTTCGTTCACTGGGGTAGACTGTTCTAGTTCCACGTGCCATGTTTTAATGGATATCAGTTATCTCCTGTTAATTAATTTCCCTCTGGCACATGGCACATAGAACAAGAACGGTCTACCCCAGTGAACGAAATAAAGTTCGACATTCCAACCACCCGAAGAAGGATTTTCCTATGTATTTTCCCCGATTTCATTCATTCTACAACCTTCTAATGTTACGTTGTGGTCGCAGCCCCTTGGTAATTTTCAAGGGGTATTCGCAGCATTTTCAAGAGATGACATTATCATTTGCATCTTCATGACATACGGATAACAACAAAGACTCAACTCGACAGCCGACTATAAGCAATTCTTTCAACTTATGATTTGAATTGCGACTATTCCTCTTCTGAATTGTTGTCTTTCTCACGTATTTCATAAGGACTACTGGCATTGTTTTTTAATGTTTCTCTCCTTACAAACTCTATCAACTCACGGCAATATCACATTGAATTACCGGTTCGCGCACACTCACCGAAGATAAGCAACGTCGAGCCTATATAGGTGACCGCTTGCGAATAGCAGGTGCTGTAAGTTAGGATGTGCGGATGGTGTAATTGATAATATCTCGGACGTGTTAATCGTATAGACTAATTCCAATTTCATTATATTCATTCTTGAGAAAGGTATGAATCGACCTCTTCTCCCCAAGCTATGGGTAAATTAGTAAGACGTGTATGACTAAAACCGTTATCTTAAAACAATTCTTATAATCTAAAGATATTTCCTAGCTTTAAATAACTTGCAAAAGGTGGATAAACTGCAGAAAATGAATTAATCAATCAATATAACCTGCCCTTCAGTATATCTGCAATCATGGCTCTCCACACCTGCATGTCATTTTTGCTCTAATGAATGCTTTCCCTTTTATGATCACTATTGTTTTGTTGAGGAGGCACGGATAGCGGTTCGGATTGAGGAATCGGAGAGCCGAGTTCGAATTCCAGTCGAATCCATTACATTCACTTACGTGCTAATAACCTTGAGAAAGGTATGAATTCTCTTCTTCCTCCAGCTATGGGTAAAATAGCAGGACAGACTGGGTTCTATAACCTTGGGTGTAGAAGAAGGAAAAATTCTAAATTCAAAATCGGTCTAGAGATAGTTGGGCTCCGTCAGGTTATCTTGACTAAGAAAAACCACTTCTGCTGCAGCTGCAGTACATATGGTACCCCTATGAACCTACGGGTAACGGGATAAAAAATCGTTTTGTTGCACTTTTTCTTCATTCCAAACTTGTCAAAAAGGTTACCTTCTATTTTTATTGCTTTCAATGTCTTCCACTAAGATTTTACGACTCTAAGCCGCCTTTCCTCCTTATGTACTCCAAAATCTCAAATGTTTTTAATTATTATCAATAGTTTATTTAGAGTTTCTATCGTCCTTTGTATTTCCTATATATATATATATATATATATATATATATATATATATATATATATATATATATATATATATATATATATATATATTATGACATTTTATGTTTATACATTCTTTTTATAGATACAAATATTTAAGTAAATGGTCTGTTTATAATTAATAGCATTAAACAAAATTTACCGGCCTGAATGTCCGAGAAATTTACATGGAAAATATTCGCCCTCCGATATATATATATATATATATATATATATGGAATATATATATTATATTGTTTATCAAATGTAATGGAATCATGTTCACTGATTAGATTTTTTCAAATGGAATTTCTGGTTTCTTATTTGTCTACTCGTTCACTCTATATATAAATATATATGGAATCATTGATTAGATTGTTTTCAAATGTAATGGTATTGTTACTGGTTTGATAAAATTTGTTGATATTATATATATATATTTCTGGTTTGTTATTTATATATATATATATATATATATATATATATATATGGAATCATGCTGCAGATTAGATTGTTTTTAAAATGTAATGGTATTGTCCACCGTTCACTGATAAAAAGAAGTGTTGATATTACTTAGGCCAGCTATTGGGAATTTCTGGTTTCTTATTTGTCGCTATTCCTTTTCTATACCAAAATCCTTTCAGAAGGTCGGTGTTCATTACTCTTCACAAGTTAGGACATGTCGGACAAATTTGGACTCACTACCATCTACTTATGCCTTTTTTCTATTCTCATTCATCCGCTCAAGTGCATTAAACAGTTTAGTTTCTGCCTGTCCCTGCTACAGTAATCGTCAATATTTCCTGTGAGTATTCAAATCTCTAAACCTTAAATTCTCTAAACCTGTTTTTCTTCAATATCTGTCTATATCTCCGAGATAAGGTATTATGATTACTTGATTTATTTACATTATTCGAACTTATCCACATCTTCATTGCCGTATTCACAACGTTTCCGCCATTGTAGGCTCCCGTCTTCATCACGTGATTAGAATTTCGAAACGAACCATTTATTTTATCCAGTGGTGTAGATTAATTTTGTTCCACGTGCCATGCCTCTTCCGGACGTCTCAGTTATTTCCCAAGTTTTGGCTCACTTTTACTGTATTTGGGTCTAGTCACTGCATCTAATCACAGCAGTGGTGAACTAAAATTTAGTTCGAATAATGTAAATAATGCAAGTAACCTTTTTTTCCTTATTATATTTCAGGTTTCTCTTTTTGATCGTTAAAACTAATTGCATGTTCCGGTTTCATTTCGACCCCTTGTAAACCAAATTTAAATCTACATGTTGTCACACGGCGACTGCATTGATGCTTAATGTTTTTAGATATCAACTAGAAAAACAAAAGCTAAAGCCTCGGAAAGGCCATGGATCTCTTTTTTACTTCGTACCCAGTTATGGATTAAATAACATAGTAGAAGCGACGTTCTTCTCTTGGATTGCCACCATTCCAGACTCACCTGATTTCAAAATCGTGGAAAAGGAAATTAGAAACTATTCCCGTATATTTTTTTCTAAAGACGTCATTGTAATTCATAGATAATCACATAAAGAAATGTGTGAAGAGACATGATCACCTAAGTGTCTAAAAGCTGTGACATTTATAGAATGTAAACAACATCCTGGTATTTAAAAATCACATCTCTGACGAAGAAACCACGTACTTATAGGTTTGAGAAACCTTGTGATATTTACTCAACGGGCGGATCTTCATGCTCTGCAAATAAATTGAATAGTGATTGTAGACAATCTGTAAATGAAGGCATTGAAAGCATTGGTTGTCCTGGAGCGCGTGACATGACATTTCATGGGTCATCTCTTTGTATCTAGTTTTTTTGACTCATCGAATTGGAATTCAAGACATATCATCGATAATGATGAAGACAATGGGCTTAAAGATTGTCTTGGAGCAGTTGATGAATCGTTTAACATCCTCATAGAAAATATCCGAATCCCAATCGAGGAAGTAATATACCAGATTTGATTACATTAAGTCGAATATCCGGTCCCAAAACACCCCATATATATATATATATATATATATATATATATATATATATATATCATAGTCTTTTATTGCACCTCACTTCAATCAATTTAAGGTATTAACATCCTCTGCTGGTAAAACAAACTTTGTGAATTCTCTTTCTATTATACACTTGAATCACTTTGGCTGTCTTGCATTTTCGGACTTACATTATTAGGACTAAAATTTAGCTTGACTTTTCCCTGCAAAATGTGTGTCTCTATTCTGTTCTATGATCAACAGTTTCTTATCTCGCACTTCTCGCTTGTGGAACGCTCTACCAGCTTCTAGCTTTTTAGTTGACGTTGATCTTGAATATGTAAATGCAATATCAATCGTTTTATTTTATCTTCTTAATTCCTATTCTTTTATTGTTCTCTCTCCTTTATAATTTTTTTCTCATACTCTCTTGCACTCAACAACCCTATGTATCTTAGAGGCTTTGTTGCCTTTATTTATGGGGTGGATGATTAAGATGAATTCAGAATTGACTAGAGTCTCTAGTACTTTAAGCATTTAGAAATGTGGCAACTAGTGTAGAAGTGTCATAAAATCTATATCAATATGGTTGACACAAATTACATGCAATTTCTGCTTTAAATCGCATTCATGCGTACTTTTTCGTCTTAAAGAATACCCCATTTAGCAACAAGCTCGTTTACCGACCAGGTCGTTAGAACGTAGTGGCTGTAAATAAAGGAAGAGTGAAAGGGAAATTAAGATATTGCATAAAATAAAATATTAATTTTTGTTCTATTAAATCCTGCTATGTTTTTGCAATATTAAATATGTAATATTGGTAATAAAAATGCATAAGTATCTTTTCATTTTCCTGTTATTTTTTCACAGTTGATTTTTATAAAACGTAACAGTTGACCAAATATTTGATAGTCTGTTAGTGGATAGAGAGAGCGGGAGAAACAGAAGTGGATTCTTCGTCTCCGCAGACCTCAGATGAGGTGTTGGCGGAGAAAATGGAGAAGACGTTAGAGAAAGAAAGGATTTCAAATATTTGTTTTTTTTCTGTTGTCTTTCGAAGTAATTTTTTGTGAAGTATACATAATTTTTTCAATGCATTTTCATTTATTCTCTATATCATATTCATGATAGAATGGTGCAAATCACCAGCAAGACAACAAATGAGAAGTAACAGGACGATATTAAAGTGAGAAAAAGATTCTAAATTAGACAACTAGAGAGAAAACGAAAAGAGGTTGTATGAAGAATGAAAAAAAAGATAATTTTATCTACAGCAAACGAGAGAGACAGAAGCAGGCGAAAAATTTCCGAACGAGAAAAAAGAAGGAACCATATTTAGAAAACTGAAAAGAAGGTTATAAATAGATCACTGAAAAATATGAAGAAGAAATGTTAATATCAACCTCTCTGAATGTAAGATGGCATAAACTCATGCAAAGCAGTTCATTTCATTGGAGAACTTTTGTAACCTACGGAAGGTTACAAAACAATCAACCGAGGGTTGGTAATGAATGATAACACAAGGACAAGAACCACAAATATAAGATTCGCCATTGTCGCGTAGAAGTAAGAGTCAACTGCTAGAAGTGAATTTCGCAATGAATTGCCAACTGAAGGATGTCTACCAACCTCCATACGCGGTCAGATGTGGTACAAGGGTGAATTTAATTTGGGACATCTAAGCCCGTGGGCTCGGCCAAAATTTCCCTGTATACCCCATATAAAACGAGGTCGGATAGCTGTTTTCCGAGACGAGAATCTGCACTCGTCTGGGGATGCTCTCTGCCCGGAGGCAGAAAGTTTGACCAGCACAGCTGGAGACGAATCTCCAACTGCAGAATATCTACCAACCTTCCCACTAAGTCAGATGTGGAACAAGGCCGAATTTAATGTGGGTTATCCGTAGCTCGTAAGTTCGGACAAAAATTACTCGTAGTCCCCATATAAAACGGGATCGGGTTGCTGTTTCCCGATACGAGATGCCTTTTGACATCGTCTCATCTGGGGACCCTCTCTGCCTTCTTGACTAGCACAGCTGAAAACGAATCTCCAACTGCGTACCAACATATAATATTTACTACTGTATTTATGTGAATGGGGACATACCTATCGTCCGTAGGTATGCTACTACAAGAATGAAACGTGTTGCCAAAATGTAACATTCGACGTTTCATTCTAGAAACCGTGCCACAATCTCCCCGTGTCTATCTTGAACGGAACACAGTCGAAAACTTTACTTTCAGAGACAATATTCGCAGTTATCACTAACCATTCTCATTTATGTCATTTGAAGTAAATATACATGGCGTACATTAGTCGATGCAACTGAATAACAGATTAAGCATGCAGCTAGACAACAATTCTTCATCCAGAAACGGAATAGCATTTATACAGACAATTCTATAATCTTGAAACAGCAAGGAAAAGTGTTATGTTTTGCATAACTCTCTGCGTAATAGTAGTTATAATACAGTTCTTAATGTCCTGAATAGAAAGTAGGCAGAGCCACCCTATGTTTGCCAGTTGTTCTCTATTTATACTTGTCTACTTAATTTCCATACGATACAGCAACAAGAATAATGGCACTACAACACAATAAGAGTCTAACAAATATCCTTCAATCTACAAATTCTGTCCTGAAAAAATGTAATCCTTATTTTAAAGCGTACAGCTTATCCATGGGAAGGTAAAGAAAGAATTACATCGAGTTAAAGACCGTAATAAATATGGAAGACATATATTTCAGTAGGGGTAATGGTATCTGCAGATTTAACCAACTTTCTCTTCAGGGAATGGTAAGCATTTTTTTTTTTGTTGGAGATTATGATGCGATTCCTGTTTACAATGATACGGTTACATATTAACTAATAAGGAATATATATATTATAGACCCTTAAAATCCGGTGACATAACCATTGCTATTTCGTTATGGTGATCTTGGGATCCCGTCTTAAGATTCATTTCTGAATCAACTGTCCTGATGCGCTTTATACACTGGTGCCTCGACTACATGAAGGTAAGCGTGCTACTTGATAGGCAACTAGTTTTCACCGTTTTTTCTGTTTAGCTAGATGTAACTCTTCCAATATTTCCTTTCCTCGCACTTCTTGTCCGTGGAACACTCTCCCGTTTTTTGCTTCCGTGACAGCCTTCAGAATTTGAAATGCAGCGTCAATCACTATCTTCTGTCTTTCCGAACCCTCTTCCTTTATTGTCCTTTTTATGACGCCTCCCCACTAGAATTTTCTAATTCTCATTGACTACCCGTAATCGCCTGCGTGTTAGTGGTATTATCCCCTTACTTTGGTTGAAACAATTAAAACAAATATATCAAATACACGTCAGATTTTAAAATATCGTCATACAGAGTAATAAGAACGCAAGAGTAAATGAGTCACACACATATTTATTGTTGATTCAAATTCGGAATTCTTCAAATATTATCGTCGTGTGGGTGTCTGGATTTTATTCAAAATTCTGTACATGAAATTGCAGCCCCACTTTTTTTTTCTTTGCTGTTCGCTTAATCTGAATTCTGTACACACACACACACAGAGAGAGAGAGAGAGAGAGAGAGAGAGAGAGAGAGAGAGAGAGAGGAAAACTTCCAAAAGAATATCAGAAATAATTTCGTGACGAAAAGATGAATGTAAATTGGGAAGGAACTTATTGCCGGAAATGTAATGATTCTTATTAAGAAGTGGATGCTTTGAAATAAATAAGAGATTTATTGTACCATTAAACAAGTATTTTTCCTGAAGCATCATCCACACATCAGTTTAGTCGTTATTGAAAAGTATA